CGGTTGCTTTCGAAGGGCTTCTCCGAGGCAGCCCTTCGAGAACAGGAGCCCGTAATCCAGGGCAAGATTGACCTGCTGTTGGCACAGCTGCGTGGGGAGGCGAAAAAAGGCATCGCGCCGGAAATGACCTCCTGGTTCAATGTGAGCGGACTACATTCCGGGCCAATAACTGGCGCGATACGCTATTGAGTGTCACTGTATGACCGTCCCTACTAGTTCTTCACGTTCGATCTGATTGGGGAGCTAGCTTTCGGGGAGTCCTTCGGGTGCCTGGAAAGCTCCACCTATCAACCATGGGTCGCCATGATCTTCGAGATTATGAAGTATCGGGGCTTTATGCAGGCCCTCAACTACTATCCCTCTGTGTCTAGCGCACTATTGAGGCTCCTCCCCAACTCCTACGCCGAAACCTTCGCCACTCACAAGCAGCTTACCCATGAGAAGGTCCAGCGAAGGATTGAGAGGAAGGTGACGTACAACGACTTGACCGCCAACCTCCTCAACCCAGACCACAAACTGGAGCGGTACCAGATCGACGGTAATTGCTCGACACTCATTATCGCCGGGAGTGAAACCACCAGCACAGTCCTGAGCGCTACAACGTATTACCTCACTCAATACCCAGAAGCCAAGGCTAAGGTGATCCAGGAGGTTCGAAGCGCGTTTCAAAAACCGCGGGACATCACTCCCATCAGTGTGAATCAACTGAAATATCTGCCCGCCTGCTTCACCGAGGCTATGCGAAGATTTCCGCCCGGGCCCGCCGTCTTCCCTCGGCGAGTTCCCAGGGAAGGGGCCTGGGTTGCGGGACACTGGATCCCCGGGGGTATGCAGGTGGGCATTTGTCATTTTGCCGCCAATAACTCACGTCTCAATTTTCAGGATCCCGAGAGGTTTGTCCCGGAGCGGTGGCTGGGCGATCCGGCGTATGCGAAGGACGATCGACACGCGATGCAGGTGTTCAGTGTCGGGCCCCGCAACTGTCTTGGGCAAAGTCTGGCCAAGCTCGAGTTACATCTGGTGCTGTGTCGATTCATCTGGGAGTTTGACTGGGAGCTGTCCCCGGAGTCGGAGAATTGGGACCACGATACCCCTGTCTTCAACACCTGGGGGGTCAAGCCTTTGCGCATCTTTCTCACCCCGGTCAGCCGCTGAGCGTCTATATACGTCGGTGTGCAAGAAATATGGTTAAGGTTGACTTTGTGTGGCAAACTAATGTCGGAGGTTTTTCGGGACGGGCGAGACTGTCACCACAGATAAGCTTCGGCATGGTAAGGCTATCCAGCCTGTGACATGACCGAGCCGTACCCCATCTCAGCGCTCACGTTCATTGAATTCCTGTGATCTTCTTGAGGATGCCTTGTACTGAATTAATGTCGAGGGTTGTATAACAAGGATCTTTCTAAAGAATCTAAATCGGGCTCGATGTCCGGGCACACAACTCTCTGCGTCTCGTCTTAGCCGTTGAAAAGAAAGCACGGGTTCAAGTTATGGTAAGCTTTCTCGAAGTAGAGCCACAACATCTGAATCGAGTATAACCTCCGGTATGGATCGGAGAATAATGGTCCACTGAACTAAAACCTTCCAACCCCGCCTTGTTCCAAAACTTAGAATGCTAGAATTTTGCCACTGGAGCAAACTGATGCTGCACTCACCAGGTTGGGTGCGGGGGAGGAGAATCCTGGCGTGCCTGACCGCCGTCTCAGTTCGTACATTTCAGGTAGTGCTGCGCGGTACAGGAGACAGGACAGTATTTACACAGCATACAACATTTAACTGTGATCGCATTTGATGCGTAAGCTGCAGTAGGTGACAAACATCCACATGAAGCTGCTCTACTTTCGTACATTGGGGGTTGGGGGCAAAAAAAAAAAGAAAAGACAAGAAACATACAACAGAAGGGATTCGCTGGTGGTCACCCACCCAACTACTAACCTCCCGGCGTGTGGCTTAAGTACGGCTGAGCGGACGGGAAGCCCTGTTTTCCACACCCTGTGGTCGTATGTGCTTGTTTATCTCTTCATTTCATTAATACTCACAAATAACACTCTCGAGAGCACTTTTCATGCATAGAATTTCTATTTTTTCTGGTACAAGCTGTTGCTGTCTATCAATTTCTTGTATATTACGACGCCCCACTTAACATAGGCTTAGTTGGGACCGTGACAATAAGAGAATTGCGGGTACATTTGGGTGTCCCTCGTAGCAGACAGCTGATGTGCGGTGATATATGTTGACGCGGGAAGACGCCCTATCCATCTTCCGGGTTGTAATACAAAGGGTCTCAGACAGCACATCAACAAAGCGCAAAATGCTCCAGTCGCCGCATTCTGAACATACATAGCGCATATCCATGATCCCAACAGGTGACACACACACCCTCAGAGATGTTGGTATACCCCCCCGCCCCCAACCAATGCAATGTTCCCCAACTCGACCGCATATCCGAGGATGCACATACCCTCCAAGTCGGCACACCTACAGATTAACCAAGGAAAGAACTGTTGATATGGCTAGAAGACTCGCATTTAACCATGGACAAGAATAACGTATATACGCATTGTAAGTTGAGTAACAGGAGAATACATGCTCTCGACAACGGCCGTGAGAGCAGGCAAGTAGCAAGAAGAAAAAGCAAACATGGTTGCATTGACATAGTAGCTGGTACTCCTGACAGACTAGCATGGTGCGTCAAATCCATCAACTATTGATCTTTGAACCTCACTGAGGGTCTTCCAAGAGCACAGCCCATTGCCTCAAAGGTATGCAAATAGGTGCTCATGTACGGCTGGTTTTGCCGAAAGGAGAAAGAGATCCAGGCTTGGACATGTGTTGTGTCGGCGAGATTCTGATCGGGGCTTGGGCTTGTCAACCTGACATTCTTGTATATAGTGTCTGAAGAAGGGATGGTGAAAAAGAGTAGAACTCACTAATAGGCGGCGAGGTCTGACGCGTACGTTGTTGCCATCCCCTCGTAGCCGACACGCCTGAAGAATGCTTCTAAGCCATCCGCAGTGACCTTGTCATTTTGACCAAACGATGGAAAATAGATCTGAGGCTCGGGAAGAAGACTGTTTGGAGACAGGGTGAAATTGGTTATCAAGGGTAATTGTTCCTGGGGTGACTCGCCAAGCTCATAGAAGCAATTTGGAAGAGCGCAGCGTCCTTCAGTGATGGGTAGTAGCTGCCACAGCTCCTTCAGTAATTCGAGCCCCGCTATGGTCCCCGGGTCGGTCCGTCGTCCACCGAGAGTCCATATATCCGCTATCGAATCCAACTCTAGTTGGGTTTCGTAACAGTAAAGTTTGATTCTAGATTTGGAGGGCTCGACCAAGTCGCAAGAAAGGAAGTGGGGAATGAGTGTCGCGCTTCTCGAGGCCATGAATTCCTGCAATGCTGCCAGTGGTGCTCTTGAATTTCCACCTGGGTCGGCTTTACGTATGGCGTTAAACATCAATTGGTCCTTGGGCGTGCCAGACGCAATTGACTTGATTCGTGGATAGATGTACGCTTTGAAAACGATCCTACCGTCGGGTTCTAGATCAGCGGCTAGTTTGTTCTGGGTTTTGAAACATGGAATCTCCAGTTTATTCTTTCGGATATTCTCAACCTCTTCGTCCGTGACGACTAGCTCCGAGACGAAATGGTTGAACCAGTCCAGATCGAGATCTGCAACCACAGCTTTGAGTGCTCTCAGCACCGTGTGAATTTGCTTAGTATTGTAAGGGTCAGTTTCGGACCCCGTCAGAGGCCCGAGGGGCTCAAAGGCGAACCGCAGCAGTGATTTGGAGTAATTGAAGCTCAATTCAAAAGGCAGTCCAAAGCGGGTCAAGTGACTCTTCCAGTGCATAGGTTGGCCCTTTCTGGGGTATGGACCCATATTAGGAATGACAAATTCACGGTGGATACACAAAAACCGATATTGCGCATGCACATCGTACTTGGCGGCTGTCATCATGCGTGCAAACATCGGAGCTGTGCTCTGCCACCATTTCACTTCGTCATTACTCGAGAATGCGAAGCTGCGGCTGAGGGTTTGACATGGTAGAGGGAGCTGAGCTGAGACATCCATTCTGGTTGTGACAAAGAGTGTGCGAGCTGCTTTGGTGGGTCAAAAAAGGAACTCCACTCGAACTTAAACTCCCATTACGGTGAGGAGTGACTGCGAATTAGAAGCAGCAACGACATAGCAGTTGATAAATTGAGAATGAGTGAGTTTATATGTTCATAACAAGGAAGTAGGGTCCCATGCAGTATGAGTTCGGGCCTTCCTTGCACCCCATGGTCGTGACCTCGTGCAGGTTGCATCAACCGTCAACTTCCTGGGCATGGCTTCCTAATCGGTTCGAGGGAGACCAGAAGATCAGCCCTAACGTAGCACATGCTGTGAGTCGCCCAGCTACAGAGCCCTCATCAATGACTCTTTAGGGCGATCTAGGCTGCAGACTCAAGTGGTGTGATGTCAATGACCAGGCATTCGGACATCTATTCCCATTTCACCTTGCACAGAAGTTACAATTCCGAGCTCGATGGGTTTCACAGCATGCGTGTCTTTCGAATATTCCTTCTTGGGCCTCTCTGTAACCTGTGAAGGGGCAACAAGCCTCGATATGGTTGGTGTGAGTATCGTATATGATGTCTTTCAGCTGACGTCTCGCAAAGTCAATCGAGAGCTGATCGTAGGAAGGTTCAAACTCGCATATCCTAGCCCTTGAATTGCTGGAATACTTTTCACACCCAGTTCTACAGGTTTCAAAGAGACCAACGAGATGGGATGTCAACTTATGCTTCTGGTCAGCGTTACATGATCCAAACCTAATCGCCGGGGTGCTTACCCAAAGGACCTGAGGACATCCTTTCGAGCTCAGAACCGTGGTCAAGACTGAGAGTATATAGCATTGTGTCCCAACTATGCAAGACAAGGCTGACCTGCTTCACCTGCCGCAGAGAGATGACAAGAGAGACCGGTGCTTTTGTCCAAGAGAATAGCAAAAACGACAATGAAAGAACCGATTGCAATTGTGGGTAGTTCCTGCCGGTTCCCAGGCGGTGTGACCTCTACGGCCGAACTCTGGGAGCTTCTCTACAATCCACGCGATGTTTTGACCGACATCCCTTCCCATAAACTCAACCTCTCCGGCTTCTATCATCCTAACCCTGATCACCTTGGCTGCACAAACGTCCCAAACAGAGCCTACCTCCTGCACACCGATCATCGTCACTTCGATGCTGCCTTCTTCGGAATTTCTCCTGCCGAAGCTGAGTGCATGGATCCCCAGCAACGGTTGTTGCTGGAAACAACATACGAAGCCCTGGAGGCTGCAGGATATACCCTTCAGCAAATGCAAGGATCCTCGACTGCGGTGTTTGTCGGCGCCATGACTTCAGACTATCATGACATCCAAATGCGTGATCTAGATTCTGCTGGGAGGTGGGATGCGACCGGAACTGCCCCTAGTCTGTTGTCAAATCGATTATCGTATTTCTTTGACCTGAAAGGCCCTTCGATCACAGTCAACACCGCGTGCTCGAGCTCTTTAGTCGCGTTACACTATGCTGTCCAGAGTCTAAGGAACCAGGAAGCGGAGCTAGCCATTGTTGCAGGAGTCAATTTGATCCTGGACGCGGGAACATATGTCAGCGAATCGAAACTACATATGTTGTCACCTACATCCAGGTGTCGAATGTGGGATGAAGCGGCCGATGGCTACGCCCGAGGAGAGGGATGTGCATCTGTCATTTTGAAACCGTTAAACCACGCGATAGCCGACAGCGATAATATAGAAGGCATCGTCAGAGAGACATTAATCAACTCAGACGGCCGCTCGCCTGGAATTACGATGCCGAGTGTTGAGGCTCAGGCAAATCTGATTCGACAAACATACTTGAACACTGGTCTCGATCCCGTCAGAGATCGGTGCCAGCTTTTCGAATGCCATGGAACGGGCACGCCCGCAGGAGATCCCGTTGAAGCCCAAGCAATCCAAACAGTTTTCTTCCCAAAGCACTCCACGTTCAACGCAGCCGACAAGCTTCATGCAGGGTCCATCAAAACACTTGTGGGGCATTTGGAAGGTTGTGCTGGCCTCGCAGGACTGCTAAAAGCAGTTGAATGTTTAAAAAACCGTATGGTTACTGCGAATTTGCTTTTCGATAAACTCAATCCAAGGATCGAACCATTCTACGACCATTTAGAAGTTCCAACTCGAAATCTCAGATGGCCTTCTCTAGTCCCAAACAACCCACTGCGTGCCAGTGTGAATTCGTTTGGATTCGGTGGAACTAATGCGCACGCCATCATTGAGAATTATACACCTCGCACAGAATTTTGTCAACAGAGGGGCGATGAGCTTGAAAGAGCTAATCGAGACCTACTCGTAGGTCTGTTTGTGTTCTCTGCCAATACCCGGTTCTCATTAATGCAAAATCTTCAGCACACGGCGAACTATGTCAGAAGCCACCCCTCGACAAATTTGAACGACTTAGCATGGGTGCTAAGTAGCAAAAGAACATTTCTTCCCTTGAGAACATCGTTCTCTGCGAATAGCCGCGATGAGCTTTTGGGCATGATTGAGAGAACCGTTCAAATGGAAGAATCGGACCTTGAAGCTGATCTCAATCGCTCGGCACGAAAGACCCCGAACGAAAAAAGTGCTATTCTTGGTGTTTTTACTGGTCAAGGTGCACAATGGGCAGCTATGGGCCGTGATCTGATCCAGTCATGCCCCATATTCCGAGACTCAATTGAAAAGTGTCAGCGAGCACTAGAGGGTCTGCCGGATGGACCTTCATGGTCGCTGCAGAATGAACTTACGGCAGACGAACCATTTTCGAAGGTTGCCGAAGCGGAATTAAGCCAGCCACTGACGACAGCAATTGAGATTGCAATTTGCGATCTTCTCAGTGCTGCTGGTATACAGCTTGATGTTGTTGTGGGCCACTCTTCGGGAGAGATTGCTGCTACCTATGCCGCTGGGATCCTATCGGCAGAGGACGCCATCAAGATCGCCTATTATCGTGGTTACCACGCTAGACAGGCTAGCACCAGGTGCTCTTCACGGCCCGGTGCAATGATGGCCGTCAGCCTGTCTTATACCGAGGCGTCACAGTTCTGCACCCAGCCACTGTTTCGGGGAAGAATCGTTGTTGCTGCCAGTAATTCACCTACAAGTGTGACCCTTTCAGGTGATCGCGATGCCATTTTCGAAGCTAAACTACAATTTGACAACAGAAATACATTCTCCAGAATTTTGAGGGTCGATGTAGCCTATCATTCTCACCACATGCGCGCTTGTGCAGACGCATACTTGACATCTTTGAAGGCGTGCAATATCCGAGGGCGATCACCACGGGAAGGATGCAATTGGACTTCGAGCGTAAAGGAGAACGAAATCTCTCTAAATACTGACATGTCTGCTCTATCTGGTCAGTATTGGGTGGACAACATGGTGCAGCCCGTGCTCTTCTCGCAGGCGTTGGAACTTTCGTTTCAGAGGACTAGCCTGCCTGACTTGTGCATTGAGGTTGGACCCCATCCAGCACTCAAAGCCCCTGTCATGGAGACGATTAAAAAGGTTACCGACAAAGAGACTCCATATGTATCGGTGTTGAAACGTGCAGTAGCTGACGTGAAAGCTGCATCGTTGGCTGTGGGCTTGGTCTGGCAACTTCTGGGACCTCACCGTGTCGACCTTACCGGATACCGCTCTTCATTTGAGCTACCGAAACCTAAACTACTTAGAGGACTACCGAACTACTGCTGGGACCACCGAAGAGAACACTGGAGAGAATCTCGCATGTCGCGCAAGTACCGGCTTCAGGGGTCGGACTCACAGAAGTCGCTCGGTCGACGGACTTATGATTGCCCGTCTCGCGAAATTCAATGGAGGAAAAATTTGCATTTGGAAGAGATAAAGTGGCTTCAGGGCTACAGGTACCACGGGGAGCCACTGCTCTCCGCTGGATTCCTTATAGCTCGTGCTCTGAAAGCCACAAGCGCTTTCGTCAACCATAGTCTTCTTTCGCTTGTCGAGATACGCGATCTGGAGCTCTCCATACCCTTAAAGATGGAAAGACATGACTCGGAAATAGAATGCATAAGCAGAATACGAGTCTCCAGTGAAGTGTCCAAGACCTATTCGGACTCTGTTGTTGATCTTGATTTTGCTTGCGATGCCTCCACTGACTGTAATGCAAACCTCCAAAAGCTTTGCATAACCCGCGTGATTCCCCATTTAGGTAAGCCTCACACTGACGAGTTGCCCCCAAGGTCCGTGGGGCAACCTTGTATGACAAAAGTGGACCCAGATGACCTGTACGAGCTTTTGGAGGATCGTGGCCTTGTCTGTGGGGGTCCATTTCGTGCGATCAAGACGTTGCGTCGGACGCTCAACCATGCTAGCGTATGCGCTTCGTGGCCCAAAGATACAGCCTCACCATCAGCACTGCTCGTCGCTTCCTTTGAAACTGCATTTCAATCCCTAATGATAGCATCTAATTCGCCCTTGGTACGAACAAACTGTTCATTTTATTTTCCTTTCAGAATCAACCGCGTCGTCATAAATCAGGATCTAGCCCATCGAGTCTTATGCGATGATCTTGATCTGAACATTGATGCATTTATCATATCGTCTGACTCTTGTCAGATTGAGGGTGACTTTTCAATCTACGACTGCCACGGGAACTCGATCGTTCAGGCAGATGGCGTGCTCTTGAGGTGTGCGGATGAGCATAAATCTTTATGTAACAAAAGTCTTTTCTCTCGGATTGCTTGGGAACGGGATCCATTTACATGCTCTGAACTGATTGATAAGCACGAGCGCAAGGATGAAGAAGAGGCTATAGCTATCGCTACAGAAAGAATCGCTCTGTTCTACGCGCAAAGGTCATTGTCGGAGATTGACCCACGTGAAGTTGCGACATTCAAGGCCCACCACCGTCTTCTGTACAATGAACTTCACCAAGCAGTTCAAGCAATCAAGAAAGATCCTCAAAGCTCTTCGCTTAAGGTTGAATGGCTTGGAGATTGTGACACTATCTTCAAGAGCCTGACAGAGAAGTTCTCGGGGAGGGTGGAGGTTGATATGCTACAATCTGTCGGCTCAGGTTTATCGTCGTTTTTGCGAGGGCACAATACTCCGAGCCTGGACCAGCACCGCCTCAACCAGTTGTTTCTGGAGGGTTCCGCTTTTAGCTCAGCGCACGGACAGCTTTGTGATATCGTCAAGCGTATTGTGCACAAGCATCCTCACATGCATATACTTGAGCTTAGCGCAGAGAGTCGCCCGATGAGTATGGTCTCGAAGGCTCTGGGTGATGCATTTGCTTCCTATTGCTATACGTACAACTCTCAAGAGCTCGTTAATGCAGCAAAAATTGCCTGCAGTGATTGCACGGACAAAATATCATTCAAGATTGCAGACTACAAAGCGGACCTTATTCACCAAGGTTTTGGTAGCGCTAGCTATGACCTAGTGATCACGACTCTTTTGCATCTTGCAAATCCGGACACAAAACCATCTTTGCAAGAAATTAGGCGCCTCTTGAAGCCCGGGGGCTACCTTATTCTCATGGAGATAACAGGCCAGATGGTGATGTCCCTGCTCATTTGTATGGGCATTTTCCCTGAGTGGTGGCGTGGCAATGAGTCGAGGCAGCTAAGCTGGAACGGCGTTTCGCCAATGGAGATCGACAGCCAGTTGCGCTCTACAGGATTCTCGGGCATCGATACTGTGACCCACGATGTGCCAGACAGTGAAGCAAGCTATCTTTCCGTCGTGGTCTCCCAAGCTGTGAACACTACTATGGACATGCTTCGTGATCCAATCAGGTTCAAAGATCGTTTGCCTCTGCCGGAGAAAGTAATGCTCGTAGGAGGTAAGACTTGGGTAGGATCACGCTTGATTGGGGGTTTGACGCGAGAGTTCGCGCAGTTGGGTGTGGCTGTTGGTCTTATGGAAGACATCCATGATTTTGATCCAGTCACTATGGAAGATGGCCTACCGGTCATTTCTGTAACCGAGGTCGAGAAGACGTTATCTCTCAGTCAGGTAACGCATAGAAGATTGATGTCAGTGCACCGAATGTTCGAGCGGTCAAGATCCGTACTTTGGTTGTCATCCGCCTTCCACAGTGGTCCCTCTTTTCACAATATCACTCTCGGTTTAGGTAGAGTGGTAATGGCTCAATATCCAGATGCTCGACTGCAATTCTTGGCAATCACCGAGCCGGGTGCGCTCAACCTGAATGTGGTCCTCGAGTCCTTCCTGCGCCTTTGGTGGTCTCGCCTTCCACTATTTGCTAGAAAGAAGATGCTATGGACACATGAGCCAGAGGTTCGCTTCGACGGCTGCAGTTATTTCATTCCACGTTTGGTTCAGGACGGGGAAAGAGACAAAAGACACAGAAACAAGCTATTGAATCTCACTGAGGATGTTTATACTGATCAAGTTCCCGTCGAGTTGCGTCTCGATTCCGCCAAAGAAACGGAAACAGTGCGCATACAGCGGTTCCTCAAACTCTCCTCTCGAGGCACCGAGACGATTACTATCAAGATGCAATATTCAATCCCACTCTCGCCACACGGCTGCAAAAGACTATTCATCTGGCTGGGAGCCACTCAGGACAAAAATTCAACAGTTATGGGCATTGGAGAGCACAACTCGTCAGTCCTTCGGGTTAGGCCAGATGAGGTTTATGTTGTGGATATGAGAGATGAAATTACACCGGTGGCTCTACTGGCTATATCCAGCTTCCTCATTGCTGATCTCATTGCATCAGCCCTTCAACATCCAGGCTCCATTTTATTCTACGAGCCCAACGAAATCTTGGCCGCCGCGCTTCACACAAGTACGCGCTGGCGAAGACGAGAGGTCTACTTTGTGACATCCACCAGACAAGATAAGGTGCGGAGCAGATGGATCGGGTTGCATCCTCAAGCGACCCGCCGGATGATTCAGCAAGCCCTGCCGACAGGTGTCTCATACCTCGTTGATTTGGCCACAGGCTGGAGTGGCACCCTTAGATCAAACATTCATAGCATTTATAGCAATGTCTTGCTAGGTTCGATGTGGATCGCGGGCGTGAAGTCTGCTGAGTCCAGGGAACTCATCACTCGAGCTTACGCGGAAGCGAAAGCACATCCCTTGAACCTGTCTTCTTTTGCTCAGCGCACATACGCGTTGAATGAGGTTGTCAACATGCCGGAGTCTGTCTATAGCCACCCAACTATCATCGACTGGACTAAACCGACCAAGGTTTCCATTCCGGCCGAGGGTCCCTGTTCGCCTGACTTTTTCTCTCCGAAGAAAAGTTACCTCATGGTTGAAATGACAGCCCCACTGGGGCTGTCTTTAATCTCCTGGATGGCACGACACGGAGCCAGAAACTTTGTCCTCACAAGCAGGAACGGTCAAGTAGATCAGCAGTGGGTCGAAAGCATCTCCAAAGTTGGGATTTGCGTCAAATCGATGGCGATGAACGTGTCTCGGAGAGAGTCTGTGTCGTTGGTTTACGACAAAATTAGCGCCACCATGCCCCAAATTGGCGGAGTCGCTTACGGAGCAATGAGTATCTCTGCTCAAGTATTCGAGGATGAGGCCGTTGACGATCTCGACATTGCTTTTGATATGAAGATCAAAGGATCAAGCTGCCTCGATCAGCTCTTCTCTAAGCGTACCCTGGACTTCTTCGTTCTGTTTTCATCGTTAGGGGCTGTAAAGGGCATCCCTGAGCAACCTTACCAGAATGCGGCCACACGCTTTATGTGTGACCTAGTGCAGAACCGTCGGGCCAAGGGCTTAGCAGCATCAATCATCCAGATGGGCATGGTTGTTGATGTGGGAGTCTGTGCTGGCCAGACTAGACGCAAGCTCGATCACCTGATCAACCAGGGTTATTCAGCCTTGTCGGAGAGAGATATTCACCATGCCTTTGCAGAGGCCGTGACGGCTTCCGACGCGAAGTGGAAAGATGGCGCAGAGATCATTATCGGTTTCTCATCGGCCATGCGACGATGCGACGATCAGGATGTTCCGCCATGGTGTTCGAATCCAATTCTCTCCCATTTTACCTCGAGGGAGATGATCCAGGAGAAGCAGAAAGAGCCAGTTGCCGTAGACGTCACGATCAAAGAAAAACTCGTAGAGGCCAAATGCGGTGAAGAAGCTCGTGATTTGCTCTTGAGTTACTTATCCGGGCGATTACAGTCCGTGCTCCAGCTCGACGCGGAAAGCATGCGTACAGATGTTCCACTCCTCGATCTTGGGTGCGACTCGTTGGTAGCCGTTGAGATTGGTAGTTGGCTTGAGAAGGAAGTCGGAGTTGAGATACCAGCTATTGATGTGTTGTACAATACCGCGGTTGCGGTCTGTACAGATGTTGTTGCACTACTCCTAGGGCAGAAGTTGGGAGACCATCAGAATCATCAGTCTATACAAACTGCGGCAACCACCATGACGGCCTCCGACCGATGCCTTAGCAGCCGAGATCGCGTCAGCTCGGCGACTTCAGAAAGCTCAACCGCCGCATGTTCTACATCAAAAACAGAGTCTAGCCTTGTTCTCACTCGAGGCTTTACACGCGTCGAGCTCATGTCTCCATATCAGTCCCTGATCTGGTTTGCAGGACATTATATGAAAGACCCGACGCAATATAATGTCGTGATATCCTACAAAGTCGAGGGCTCCTTTCAGTTTGAAAGATTCCAACAAGCGCTAGAGCAGGCTGTTGCAAGGCACGAATCCCTACGCACGGCATTCTTTATGGACCATGTTAGCGGCGAGCTCGTGCAAGGGGCTCTGAAAAGAGCGAGGCCCTTCTTTTATCATGTAAAGACATCGGATCCGGAAACCGTCTCCGAAGAATTCAAAAAGGCGGCGCTTTATAACTGGTTGTTGGAGGAAGGAGAGACCTTCCGAGTCACCGTGGTGTCAGTAGAACCCGGACGTCACACTGTGATATTCAGCTACCATCATATTATCATGGATGGGGTCGGCTGGTCCACCTTCCTCAGAGAAGTCAAAGGTTTTTACGAGATGAGGCCCCCTACTTTCAATGCCACACAGTACATGGACTACTCCGTAATGCAGAATCAGGCTATTCAGAGTGGTGCTTTCACCAAGGACATGGAGTACTGGAAGCGGAGACTCTCACCTTTGCCGGATGTGATGCCTCTACTTGGGCTTGCCAAGGTGAAATACAGAACCGCCACGGACAACTACAAAGCGCACACGACTACGCGTACAATCGGCCGAGAGCTTGCCGAAAGAGTTCGCAACTCGAGTCAAAGACTTCGAGGCACGGGATTCCATTTCTACTTGGCAACGCTCCAAATTCTCTTTGCGAAGCTACTGAATATAGAGAATATGTGCATCGGCATGAGCGATGCGAATCGAAAACATGAGCAGTACCTCAACACGGTTGGCTACTTTGTCAATCTGTTACCTCTACAGTTCCGAATTGTGCAGGGCGATAGCTTTGCTAGTGTGTTCAAGCGAACATCACGCGATGTTCTCTTAGCGTTGTCGCACTCGTCGATGCCCTCGAATCTCGTCGTTGATCACCTAGACATCCCACGAACCTCGACGCACACGCCACTTTTCCAGGTCGCCATCAACTATAGGGTAGGGGAGATTACTGAGATGTCTGTGGAGGATTTCAAATTGACCTACGAGCGCAGCGTCATGGGGAACGCACCGTACGACATGTCCTTTCACATCACCCCTACCGCGCTCGGCGCCTGCATCTTAGATGTCACCTGTCGAGATTACCTCTACAGTCCCGAGGCTGCAGGGCAGGTCTTGGACATGTATATCAACCTGCTAGGTGAGTTTGCATCAAACTCTTCCCTCTCAGTACAGCAGTGCGCCCTGTTCTCGAGCGATAGCGATGAAACACATTTGTCCGTACGCCGGGGCACGCGGATCCGTCATCGATGGCCGGAGACTTTGTCGGCACGGTTCCGCACAATTTTAGACAGCTGTCCCGGGAGGACCGCAGTCATTGAGGAAAATGGAAGATACACCTACTCTTCCTTAGGCGCGCGCATGGGCTCCATAGCGAACGCTCTCACTGAGAGGAAAATCGCTCCCGGGATGAAGGTCGCGGTTCTCTGTCAGCCATCCCTGGACTCGGTGGCGAGCCTGCTAGCGATTCTCCTCATCAACGCTGTCTATGTGCCTCTCGATCTCAGTAGCCCAATCTCGAGACATAGCGCCATTATAGAAGCCTCGGGCGCAAAAGTGATACTCTGCTCGACCACGACGCTCGAGTCCGCCTCCGCCCTTGGGGTGGCGACTATCATCAATGCGTCCGCGGCACCGGAGCACTCGGGCCCGACGACAGATATCAGCCGTGATGGTACGTCTCCGTCGGTCCTACTGTATACCAGCGGCTCCACAGGTAAACCCAAAGGTGTTTTGCTCTCCCAAGTTGGCTTTATAAATTACCTTGCGGCAAAGGCCGAGGAACTGCACTTGGACAATCATGTCGTCGTCTTGCAGCAGAGCTCTGTGGGATTTGACATGGGGCTTGCGCAGACACTCAATGCAATCATGAATGGAGGGAAGCTCGTTGTCGTCCCACAGGCGGCGCGAGGGGACCCTATCGAGATTGCCAACTTGATCCGGCGGGAGAAGGTGACATTCACCCTTGCCACGCCGTCCGAGTACATGGTTATTCTCCAGCACGGACGCAAGTATCTCGAAGACTACACACTGTGGCGCCACGCCTGCCTCGGCGGCGAACCATTTACAGACCAACTGAAGCGAGAGTTAGTGCAACTGGGCCACCGATGCCCCGTTGTTCAGGATTCTTACGGTGTAACGGAAATCTCTGCTTGCACGACTTTCGAGACCATGAACGTGTCTCAGCTCGAAGAAGCACGCAGCGTTGGGAAGCCCATCCCCAACACTTCTGTATATATCTTAGACGATAACGACAATCTAGTGGGAGTTGGTGTGCCTGGCGAGATATGCATAGGGGGCGCTGGAGTAGCCCTCGGGTACTTGGACGAGGAGCAGACGCGGCTGAAGTTTGTCGAGGATCGGTTTGCGACCGAAGATGATATTGCTCGGGGGTGGACTCGCATGTACCATACGGGCGACAAAGGACGCATGCTTCAAGATGGCTCGCTTATCCTTCTGGGTCGGATGGACGGAAACACGGAGATTAAACTCCGTGGTCTTCGAATTGACCTGGACGACGTGGGAGCTACATTGGTGAATTGCTCTTTGGGCTTGATCTCGGCTGCTGTTGTTTGTGTCAAGGGCGATGGCGATTCCAAATACCTCGTGGCTTATGTTGCGATTGCCCCCGGCCGCACGAGTACCGAGTCCGAGCTCCGACGTCTTGCGACTAGTCTTCCCCTGCCAAAATACATGTGCCCTGCGTTGGTCGTGCGCCTAGACAACTTACCACGGACTGCGAATGGTAAGGTCGATCGAAAAGCAATCGAGGCTTTGCCGGCTTTGAGCGCAAATGTACCATCGCAGGAGAACAGGCGTCTGACCTTGGGAGAGGGCGAGCTCAAGCTCCTTTGGATGGGGATCCTCCCCAACAAACCTCCGATCCAGCCCGAGTCGGACTTTTTCATGCTCGGAGGGAATTCTCTACTCCTGATCAAGCTTCAAGGTGCGGTTCGCACTTCGATCGGAGTTCACATCACACTTCGTGAGCTGTATGCAGCAAGTACTCTATCCAGCATGGCGCTTAAGGTTGCCTCACGTAAGGCCGAGACCCCAACGGCAACAATCAACTGGTACGAGGAGACGGCTGTCCCGGAAGGAATACTCCAAGAGACAAACTCGCGCTCGGAGCTGCGCCGCTCCAGAGAATCAGCAGGCATTGAGATCATTCTGACAGGGGCAACTGGATTTCTTGGAAGGGCAATCCTACGCGCCCTGCTTCAGAAGTCCGAAGTCAACAAAATTCACTGCCTTGCTGTGGAGAAGGGACAGGATGATGTGCTCCCGTCTAGTAGTAGTGTTGGGGTCTACTACGGCAGCCTCCTCGATCCCACTCTGGGACTATCCACCGCCGAGTCGGACACACTGCAATCGTGTGTCGATGTGATTATCCACGCGGGGGCGCATGGACACTGTCTTAACACCTATAGCTCCCTCCGAACGCCTAACCTGAGGTCCACGCACTTCCTCGCGGGATTTGCGTGTCGAGCCCAAATCCCCTTGCACTACATCTCCTCCTCGCGTGTGATCCTTCAATCAGGCCAGACATCTCTGGGCCCTATCTCCGTCGCGTCCCACCCGCCGCTCGCCAGCGGTTCCGAGGGATTCACGGCTACGAAATGGGCGAGCGAGGCGTTCCTGGAGCATCTCGCCGACCGAACCGGATTGTCCGTCTACATCCACCGGCCATGCACCCCGATCGGCGACAACGCACCAGATCAAGACGCACTCAATTCCTTGCTTCACTTTTCGGACCGTCTCAGCGCCACTCCCCGACTAACCAACATGGGCGGGTTCCTCGACTTCCAGAAAGTTGAGGTCATTTCCGAGAGAATTGCCTCGGATGTGACGTCATCGGTATCGGACAGCACATCGCCTTCTTCATCCTCCTCGTCGTCGTCCGTCGTCCAGTTCCGCCATCATTCCGGGAATGTCAGAGTTCCTGTCAAGAGCTTCAAGGAGTACATGGAGAAAGTCCACGGTCGCCCGTTCGCGGAGCTGGGGCTGCCAGAATGGTCGGCCAAGGCGATGGAGTTGGGGATGGAGCCGTTGATTCCGGCCTTGTTGGAGGCGGTGGCTGAGAGCTCGGAGACGATGTATTTCCCTTACCTTGGGGAGGAATGTGAGGGGTAGCTGTCAAGGGAAAACGATTCTTTCTTTGCTGGATGTTAACATGAGGGGGAATGAAAGCCGCGGGAGACTGTACTGTACTTGGTTGATGGTGGTGGTATGGATTGTGATTGTAAGGCGATGGGAGGAACTCTGTGATTCTGTAATGGAAGCTCCTGCTATAAGTATAAGCTATGTATGTGCTAGAAATTACTATACGGAGTCCACCGGGGGAGTGCGAGCGAGAAGAAGTCTGTGCGTGGCCTACGGTACAAAAACATTGGGGTTGTGCTTATTGCCGAGTACCTGGTGACATAAGCGTTAACATTAACATATGCCAAAGGCCTGAACTAGGTAAGCACAAGCCGTCCTGTGATTCACTATCCGTATATAGAACCATATATGATTTGATCTCCTCGCTCAATTCAGAATTGTTCTCTCGTTCGTGGTCCGCCCTTGATCTCTTCCTACCCATCTTCAAACTATCCATCTCCATCTCGACAGCGTGGGTTGTGCGCGACATACAGTACCTGCCTGCCCGAGCGCCGGCCAACCACTCGATTGTGTATCGCAGCAATAAGGTATCTATAGAGTAACCAGGCGGGTGCAGAGAATCCCAATACACAGTACATTTTCACACTGGACCGTATCAACACATCGCCGATAACCCAGGTGAGATCCACAGATCTACTGAGAGATGTTGTACAGTTTAAGCCGACGAGACTCGCGACACACTCTCCGCCCGCGTCACTGGTTCGCCCTTTGCCTATAATGACGGTAGAACGCCAGGAACGATGGGAAGGATCACAATTCCGGGGAACCCCGTCGTGCCAGACGACACGGAGATCCGCAGTCCACCCAACAACATTCACATACTGCACCTCAGGAATGCGCACGGCCAGCACAGCCAGGAGCCCAGAATTAGTGTCATGCAGAATTCAATTGCCTTGTTTGTACTGCAGATGCGTCGGTAGAAGAGTAGCACTGACAGCTGAGCTTGATGAGCGAGGCCGTTCGAGGGAGCTGAGGACGTACAGTACAATTACTGGACTGTACCTTTAGAGTGTCAGGAGAGTCCGACCATCTCAAGGATATAGTGCTTGAAGCGATTTATACCAGTGATGCCAAGATCATCCAGTTATCTGCCGCGATCAACGTGCCCTGTCCTTGCTTAGTATAGTACATAGTAACGCTAACAACTTAGGTGTGAGCAGTGGCCGCCCTACGCAGCGTGCAGTGTTTTTGATGGGGTGCGGCTTCGAAACCGCAGGCGGGAAGCTAGGTTCAAGGTTGTTGATAGGACAGTACTGTGCAGTACAGTACAAACCTGCTGTTTCTCGCCTCATGGCTGGCTGTGAGATCGATTCCTGTCGCCGGTGGAGAATCCTCCGCTCGGGGAGATCTGACATGTCGATGGAGCCCTTTCCACCTGTCCGATCATCTATTCGACAATGTGAAATCTGCAGTGGCGTCTGGAATACTTGCCAGATTGTTATCGATCTGTCTCGCCTGTAGGCCCGGAATGCCCCCCCCCCCCCCGGTGTTTCTGCGACGGACTCTCTGCACGCAGGGGGCATAGTAGGTTTCGCCTACAGTGTCGCCAGTCTAACCTTTTGCTGCGCGCTCCCGCCCCCCCGACCATAATGAAATCGAAGCCCAGCAACAGCCCAGCCCAGCAACAGCCCAGCCCAGTATGAAGCTTCGACACAATCCAATCAATCAGTCGCCAAAGCCGGAATGTGGACCATTAACAGAAAAGAAAAATTCTCTGAATTGACCTTGAGTAACGAAACTTTTTGCCAACGGGGAGTTGCACTGGAATCGAGCAGAGGGTGCTGACCTGGTGTTCGATTGGAACTAGCCCTGGGATCAATCGGACGAGACAATATTGCATGGAGGATCAGTATTCAACTTTTTATGCAGGGTAGTACGAACCGCATCATTGGTCTAGTGGTAGAATTCATCGTTGCCATCGATGAGGCCCGTGTTCGATTCACGGATGATGCATTGGATCAAACTTTTTACCTCCGCGCCCCCACTTCAAGTGCTTGGAATCTACGGCCGCAGCGCCGTCTCATTTTTTGTCTTTGTCTGTGTCGGGATTATTAGGGCTGGTTCCCGACTCCAAATAACAACCCACGTAGCCCGTAACTTACCTGCCGTGCCCGATGGTGCGGGAGACAGGGAGTGTACCCAGGGAGAGTCCAGCGCCCACCGCACGCTCATTGTCGCCTCTTCCCCAGCAGCGCCCCAACCACGAATGAATTCCCCGCACTTTGCCAAGAGCTCAGCCGTCTGGTGATTATATTTGATAGCCTGAGTGCTGCAAATATGATTATTCAGAAAGGTCTTATATTAATAAAAAGCATTACCGCACTGGATATTGCCACCCTCTTTAACATAAGCCGAATTCTGAATGGTGCTCTGAGTATTAGTATTCTAGATACTTGTCCGAGCTACTCTACACAAGCCCTAAGCTCACCTATTTGCAATACACCGGCGGCCGGTCTGCGGCGGAGGCGCGGCTAAAATACCGGGACCAGCAGGTCCGTGTAATGTGGGGCAATATAGCATTCCCATATAAAACTATACTGCAGTCCACCTTGCTCAGGCGGATATAAAATGCTATATACACTGCAAAACTAAGTATACAAATCAGCAGGGTGAGAATTCACTTAAGTGAGGATCTGGACCTTTACATCAAAGGCCGCAAGCAGGCGGAGGACCTGATCGCAAATCAAGGGCTCTGGCTTCAATAGCTTAAACAGGGGCAACGGGCCAGGGTCTGCAGCAACCAATGGGCACTCATTGTTCGCAGCCTGCCGAGAGATTGGTTTACGAAGCAGACCCTGGGAAATGGTGAGGCAAAGCAAGAGATCTTGGACTCCAACCCGCAGGTTCCGGGCGCATATATACTCTATGTGAGGTGGGTTGGCGGCGAAAGAAAATTAGTGAAACCGAAGACTTTACTGGTTATCGGCTTCCACCGCGCCGAGGATGCAAACAAGCTGCTGCGCAGCCTTTTCTTGTTACGCGGAAAACCTCTGTAGACTGAGCTGTACTACCCACGCTGCTGTCTAGTGCAGTGCATGCAATGCCAAATATTCGGACGCGCCTACTGCTGCTGCCCCTCCCCTCCCTGCTGTAAATACTGCACTAGGGACCATCATGAGACTGAATGCCCAGACTAAACCAATCTCAAGTGCGCTAACTGCCAGAATCCGCATGTCGCTAACGACAAGAACTGCCGCGCCCGTGCCAAAGAACTGATCAAACTCAACATCGCCTACAAAAATAAGCCAAAACTTCACCCGGAGAAAACCGCCACCCTCCCTCTTAATATACCGGTCAGCCATCCAACTATTCTGCCATCTGGAGGGCCAATCCATGTCTCAACCGCGCAGACAGACGCCCAAACAAAAAGCGACTCGGGGAGCGTGTTTAGCCCAAACGATTTGGACCGACCGGCCAAACAGCGGCGGACTGCTTGCACCGCACTTACCACTTATCTCCCCACCACCCCAACGCGCAAGCCCGCCGTCACCCGTGCCCACCGGGTCAGCCTGGAAAGCACCGACAGCGAGGCAACCGGCGATTTCAAGCCGGGAATCAGGCCAGGAAGCGACTCCGTCCTCCCTGCATTGGACCGAGCAATCCGGGAGGCATTCTCGCGGGGTATTTCAACCTCCACCACCCGTGTGAGGCTACAAGCGATGATGAATCTAACCGCAGGGCCTTCCTCTTCCCTTTTCTTCCCAAGACTGGAATTCTTGCCTGGTCCGATCATCTCCCTCTTGCAGCCCTACACTAATCCCATTCTTCTTTTATCAAATTTTCATCCTTTTCATCCTTTTCAACCCCTTTTCATCATCGAGAACCTGTTTTTCCCCTGATTCAGATCCCGACTGCTGCTGTTGTTAAACACTGCTTCCGAAAAGCTTATTGTTAATAAGCTTTTCATCGCCCCACCCGGGTGGTTCCTGCTTTCCATCCCCATCCTCTACCCCATCGATTATTTCATCAATTTTATTAATTCTATTGATTTTCTTATGCAAACTCAAAAGTCCTAGACCTTCTAGCCCGGAGGACGAGGGCTCTTGCTGTTCCCCGCCCCATATCTTATTGCCGCGGAGTAAAAGGATTGCTGAGAAGCTGAAAAAGGCCTGGCAGCAGGCGGGCGAAGGTGCCAGCTCTTCTGCACCGTCACCCCGCCGCTAAGCCCCAAGGGCAAAAAACCCGAGCAGCCTATATCTCCCCCCCAATATGGACGAGGTGGTCGACTTCCTGCATTGGTCCACTGTTAGGGATATTGATATGCTTGAGGATGCCCTGCAGATCTTTGAGCTTTCTCACATGCGGAGACTTACCAATCTTTTAAACAGCACCCAAACACACTGCATAATTTCCTTATAACAGGTGGCGGTCCGTCCCATCCGTCCTCCTCTTCCTCCGAGCCCGAGCCCGAACCTGAGCCCGAACCCGAATCTAAGCCTGAACATAAGGCCGACCCTCAGCCTCAACAACATCGCCCGAATCCCGATGCTGCTACTGCTGTCCTTGCTGCCGCCGCCGCTGCATGGCGCCCCCAAGCCGCCCATCCTCAGCAGCCTCTTAAAGGCAATTCGACTGATGCATACAACCCATAGAGGTTCGCGCTCTTTGGAAAGGTAAAGGATAATATGCCCATGTTCCCAACTAAGCAGAGCCGGGTCTATTACACATTAAGCCAGATGGAAGAACTTATCTTTTTAGTAATGCAGCGGGTGGCCACCCGCAGCCCAGAGATCACCCTCACCGGCTTGCTCGAAGAGGTCAGGCATTATCTCAGTATTTACCTGGTTGCCAAGGCGGCTAACCAAAAGTTAATCTCAGTGGCCCAGAAGCCCGGCGAAGCGGTTACTGCGTACTGCCACCACATTCTAGACCTTTTTAACAAGGCTGGAACGCCCGAGCCCGAGCATATGCGGAAGTATCTCACGCTCGGGCCCGGCGGGGGGCGGCGGGCCTGGGGCTGGGGCTATGGGCGGTCGCACCTTCCCCCGGGAGGCCAGCTGGGGGTCGCACCTTCCCCGAGTGGCCTTGGGCGGCAGCGAGGTGGGCATCAGCAGCAGGAGTAGCCAGTTGGTGGCGTCCCGGGGGGGATGGGAAGAGGCCACACCCATCCCCGTTTTGCGGGTTCGCGGGCCAGTCTGCAAGGCCCAGTTTGTATGGGAAAACGGCCCGGCGCACGATGAAGCATCGACGTCGACAGATCTTGACTGTCATCCATGTGGCCAAAAATGTTCGCCGTATACATCCACCGGCAAGGTGGCCGAGCGGTCTAAGGCGTCAGGTTAAGGTTCACCTTAGCAGTCAAGCTTCACAGCTTCCTGATCATCGTCAGATGGCGTGGGTTCGAATCCCACCCTTGTCATGTCTTTTTTGCCGCCCTCTGCTTCGTTTTCTCCGTGGCGAAATCATCGTTGTCTGTCTATTTTCTCTCATTTGGTTTTTATCCCCCGTTCTCCGTTTCTCTTCAAGGTCAGGCATAGTCAGTTCGAACTGCGGACCGAGCATCGAATGATGTCCACCCTGCTTTCTCCCCTCAATTCGCGAGCCATGTACAGTACTATGTATACAACGCCTGATTAGCCCTGTTACAAGAATCCACTACACAGATTACTCACTTCCCAGCCTGGCCGTAGGCTAAGCTACTTTTAGCTACAGAAAAAGATCGATATATCTCATCGAGATAATCGGGATTTGATTAATCTATACAACGAAACTAGGCAACACCCCAGCAAGCAACCAACCACAACGAACATCCACAAAACCGCCGATCGAACTATCTCCCACTAACTCGCACCCACATCTCATCTTCTCCTCCTCCTTTCTAAAAGCAAGAATCTAGGCAGACTCAACGCACTGGTAGTAGTAAGGGTTCCACTGCTTGCAAGTCCAGCCGTCAACGCAGGTGGTGGCGCCGGTCCAGCCCTGGCCACCGCAGCGCTCGTACTTGCCGGCGGTACCGGAGGAGGCGGAGGAGGAGGAGCTGGAGGAAGCAGCGGCGGCGGCAGTGGTCTCAACGGCGACGGCGGCAGCGGTGGTGGCCGCGGCGGAGGCCTGAGCGGAGGACTTGGTCTTGTTGCGGCAGGCAGTGGCCTTCTTGGTCGAGGCGACGGCCGTGGCGAAGGTGGTGGGGGCAGCGGTGGTCGTAGGGGCCACGGCGGCGGCGGTGGAAACGGCGGCGACGGCACCCTTGGTGGTCACGGCCTCGATGGAAGAGGAGGAAGAAGAGGAGGAGGTGGCAACCACGGCAGCGGCGGCAGAGGAGGAGGAAGCAGAAGAAGAGGAAGAAGCGGAAGAACCAGAGCTAGTGCCATCCCAGACGGAGGGACCGGGGATAGGGTAGCTGTCGAAGGAGCCGTACATGTTGAAGAGGATACCGGCGTCGGTGGCGGAGTAGGCGCCGGGCAGGCTGACACCCTCGGGCAGGGTGTTGGCACCGTCGGAGGTGACCTTGAACTGGACACACTCCATGTAGAACTGGGCGCCACCCTCGTTGTTGGCCTCGTGGAGGGCGATGATCTCCGGGCGGAAGAGGTAGTCGCCGGCGGGGACGTCGGGGACGGTGATGTTGTGCTTGCCGCTGTTGGCGATCAGGGTGTCGACGGCCCAGGTGCCGTCGGAGTATCCGTCCTCGGCGATCTTGACCCAGTTCTTGCCGCTGCTGCCGGCGGTGGTCGGGGCCATGTAGACCATGACGGGGCCCTTGTGGGAGGAGGCGATGATGTCGTCGGAGGCGTCACGGCTGTCGTGGTGCCACTCGAAGGTCACGACGTCGCCGCCCTTGACGGACAGGGTCTTGGCCGCCGCCTGGTCGCCGTTGACGTTGCAGGTGATGTCGGTCGAGGTCACGTCCTTGACGGGGCTGTTGCTGGGGGGAGAGCGGATGTAGCCACTGGCACTGTTGCCCAGGCCCTGGTCCTCACCGTTGATCCAGACGGCGAAGACGGTGGCGTGGGCATCGACCATCTTGGCTGCTGCTGCCAGAGCGAGCATACCGAAAGTAGAGGACTTCATTTTGGAGAAGAGTGGTGAAAAGAAGGACTGGAAAATGAAGGGAAGGGAGTGAATGAATGAATGAATGAAAGGAGGAATGAAGGAAGTTGACCGGCAGGAAAAAGAATGAACTGCTATCCAAGCTGGAGAAGGAAGGAAAAGAAGTCCACCACAGCAGTGACAAGGAGAACGGTCTTATATCAGGGCCCTGGAGCAGGGTCTCCTCCGGAATGCGTATCGTATCATTGCCGGCGAACTCGAGCGGAGCCCGCCAAGGCGCGACGTTTCATCTTAAATGCTGCCCGCCTCCACCGGACAGCGTCTGGCTCGCTCCCATCCGCCGAGGCAAGTTCCCTGCCAAGCCTGTTTGTGGCAGCGGCGGCTTGGCTTCATTCGAGACAGGAGGCCAGCAGGCAAGACAGGACCCGGACGGGGTCCGGACGGGGCCCGGACGGGGCCCGGATGCATCTCCTGGAGTCCTGGGTCTTACTCTCTAACTCGAGACCGCCGCAGGCAATCTCCCCAAGGGCAACATGAGTGGTTCGATCGCTCTTGGCTGCTTGACTGGTCACAATTCCCGAGGGGGAACCTGGATTCTTCTGGAGCTCCAGTACAAAGTGAAGCTGGCCACAAAGAGACAGCGTCGACGGTGTCTGGTGGCGTTGGACCCGATTGAGGCCATGTCTTGCCCTAATCTGCCCGTTTTGTCTCGCCCGAAGGCATCCACCCATCAGCCTTGGCGGACCCATCGCCCATGCAAAAACATGCCACAACCTTCCCAATCCCCCCGAATGCAATTGGAGGCTTCATGGTAGAGTGGTGAACTGAACTGTTCTCCTACGCTACTTAATAACTTCGAGTCGATTGAGTTCAGACCCTAGTCGAATGCGACCTCCTCAGTTCTGGATTGTTGCTGGATGCCCCCCTCCATCCCAAGCCCACTCCTTCGTTCTGGTCTGGAGCTAGACAGATTGACCCAAGACGCTTATATCTATAGCACTGAAAAGTAAGTGGAGGGAGCTTAGTGCATTTGCAAAACGAATATACCTCATTGGTGGAGAGTGGGCTTCTAGGCGCGCGCAATCAATGTGCATGAACTAGTTCTCTTAGAATTACCCCTGGAATTGATGAGTGCCGACAATAATAGCAGCTGCTTTCGCTCCGATCCATCGTTGATTAAATAAATCGTCCCTTCGGTCAAACCTGTCGAATGAGTGCCCGGAGAAGTCTTCCTCCTGTATGTCTTGTCAACATCGGATACAATGCCGGCGAGTCCGGGTAGGATACATCGGGAAAGCCTACGTGGTCGAAGTAGCTAAGACCAGCTATATCCGATCTAATCGGTCATCCAGGAGATGGCTGTAGGTTGTTGGCGGATCAAGACTGCATAAGAAGGTGTATAAATCCCAATTATCCGTTTACCGGATCCGACGGGGGAGGATGCCCGCGTTGTTGCGGACAATGCGCAAGTGAACTCAGGGCCAGCCCTTCCTTTATTTGATCACATGATATCTTTTAGAAAGGCAAAAGCTAAGCATAAACTCCTTTGTAATGCTTCACCCGGCTGTAGACCGTCTATAATGACCACTCTTGCTCATGCACTCGATACAAACTTGGCAATTAATTATCTAATCCACCATTGCACCAGATCCACACCACTCGTCGTTACGTGTGCCATACATTGCGGGATACTTATGGCCTTGCGGCTCGAACCAGAATGAGAGTACCACGCCGTCAAAAAAGAATTTGAGGACTAGGACGACGGACGTTACTGGAAGCTCATGTGATTCCGCAAACACCCGGACTCTACCATATACCTCGCTAGGCAGCGCTCGCAAAGCACAAATGTAGGCGAATCACGAACAGATCAGTTGATGCATGCTTTCCATGCTAGTATAACACCTCACAGCTTCAGACCACCTTGCCAGCGACACGACCCTAGTAGGCAGCATAAATGAAAGCTAACTGATCGATCTCATCGCCATCCTGCCCCATATACCCGACAATGGCATACCCGTCATCCGCGGTAAAGGTGGTACAGTTGCTCGTGGCGGTACCGGCCTCCAGGACATTGCCCGCGCTCGTGGTAGCCTTGAGATAGAAGTTGCGGGTGTGGCTGTTGTACAGCCCGGTGCACAGCTCCGCCTGGGTCCAGTGCTCGCCGGCCCCCAGCGTCAGCGACACGGCCGTGCCGCCGGTGCCGCCGTGGCTGAAGGTGGTCCCGTCTGTGAGCTCCAGCGCGACGGCATCCAGGCGGTCGGCACCGCGGAAGGTCAGCACGGAGGCCACCGGCGAAGCGGGCAAGCTGGGGAGGTCGTTGAACCAGTCGCCGTGGGGCCCGCCGGAGAACTCGCTCTGGCGGAGCGACGAGGACAGCGTCCAGCTGAAGTCGACCAGTACCGGGTTGTGGTCGGAGAGCACATCCCCCAGGTACTCTGGGTTGGTGTTGAGGAACTCCTCGCCGTCGTAGCGGAAGCTGTCGGCGGCCAGGGTGACGACGCCGGAGCCCCGATACAGCACCTTGTCCACCGTCTCGCAGGTTTCGTTCGTGGAGGGGTTGTCGCACATCAGCGAGTCCGCGCCCGCGGTCGGGTACACCCCGCCCATCTCCAGCTCGACCCAGACGTCGGTGAGATTGTTCTGCGACTTGAAGACGCGGATGCCGGTGTCGGCGCTGCGGGTGTAGCGGCTGTTGGTGTCGCCCATGATGACCACGGCGTTGCCGGTGGACCAGGTGTCGATGTAGTCGGCGACTTGTTGGAGGTTGGCGTTACGGGCGGTTTCGTCGCCGTCTTCGGTGCTGTGAGGCTGTCTGTCAGTTCATGATATTGGAGACAGCATAGCGGTTTTGAGGATGGTGTCCTACCCAGCATCGGCGTGCAGGTTGTAGAAGTCAATGTACACTCCCTCGGATGGGTTCCAACGCATAAAGGTGAAGCCCTTTGGGGTAAGGCAGTCTGACTCGGAGGCGTCAGAGCATGTGTCCCACTTGACACGTGTGAAGTCGACCCAGTCGTAATTGGAAATGGTATTCAGACCGCTGCCAATGGCGGCGCCGCCCGAAGTGGCCGTGCGGTAGGGGTGGTCGTCGTACTCGTAGATGTAGGCATGGTAGTTGAAGTCCTTGATCTCCATGAGCAAACTTCGCAGCCCACACAATGATAGGATGTATACATACCTCCTGCATCTGAATGATGTCATAGCCATACTCTGCAAAGTACTTGCCAAGCTCCTCTGCGTTCTCAGTCTTCGTGCCATTCACATCATTACTGTTAAGGATCTCAGGTAGACCAGCGACATTGAAACACAGTGCGGTGAATTTGCCGCTGGTAGTGGTCGCAGAGGCCGACGCGGCTGCGAGGGCACTCAGTCCGAGAAGCTCAAGGTTTCGCATACTGGAACTTGTCTATCCACCGCGAGAATACCTCCATTGCGTGGAGAAGGTGCTTCAGGGGCACTTAAATAGATGAAGAACAAGAGGGGAACCCTGAGCTATCATGAGCTGGCTAGCTGTAACCGAGGTGCTCGTCTCTATGCTAAGCTCTCGGCAGCAGGGTTGTTTCTTGCGAGCTTGGAAAAGATCGTCACGCGCTGCAATTGTCCACGGTCATTGGCGGAGATATTGTGACGTTCGTACGTGGGTGCATTCTTGGCATGCAGGCTGCAGGAATGTCGGATGTCAAGCCTGTTCTGTTCCTGATTCCAGCTGGCATAACAATACAAGCGGCTCGAGTATAGAAACAGGAGATTAGCTACTCTGCAGAATAACTTCGCATAGACAGACCAAGCATTGCACGTGGCAGCAGTGAATCACTTCAGTTGGTTGCGCCAAGTGTACGGTAATGCGACCGTTGTCTTGGCTTGAGCTTGGCACTTTCGCTTGCAGGATTGGATCCTATGAGGATGATGGCATATAGACGGGCTAGACAGGCTATTGACCCAAGAGCTACCAATAGAGTCGTTATGTGTGACTTTTATATTGCATGCCCAAGTGGCAGGTGGACTTAATGATCCGCGCCGTCCGTGATGTGCCTGGTAAGGGGCCGTTGCCTGTTGCCTGGATAACCCAGGATGATCAACATGCTGATCGTGTGGGATTATCGAGATCTCAGAGCACATTCTCATAGTTTTTCATTGAAAACCTTTCCAGGATTCATAAGCCAACTATGAACTAAGTCAGTACTGGCCAAGTCATGATCGGAGGCATTCTTACTAAGGATCCACGCTTCGCTTCAATGTCCTCATGAAATCTACTGTGGGTTCTCCTAGTTCCTCTTCAAGGTAATCCTGCTCAAGTCAGCCGACGCTGCTACTGATCGTCAGGGAGCTGGGAGGTTACCTTTTTCCCGATCCCAATGCCGTGCTCGCCCTGGGAACGTCAGTGTGGGGTTGCAAAGTGCCAAAGTCCAAGTAACATACAGAAATCGTGCCTTCCATCTCGAGCGCCCGTCGCATCATTCTCGAGACACATGCTTTAACAGCGCGATACTGCTCGGAGCTCTTTGGGTTATACATCACAGCCTGGTGGAAGTTGCCATCGCCAACGTGCCCTAACACTGTGGAGAAAAGTCCCAGGCTACTGGACTCCTCCTTGGACATCTCTGTTTCAACCATCAGCGGTTACCTGAAAAAACTGGCTGGAGCCCACTACTCACCAACGATCTCAGCCAGACGTGAGATCGGCACCGCCACATCGGTGGACCAGATCTCGGTGCCTTGGGGCCTTGCCGCTAAGGTCGTCCATAGGGCCTGCTTCCTGGCAGACCAGAGATTGTCCCCTTCCTCCGGGGTTGATGCGAAGACCAACTCGTCCCCTTTGTTGTTCTTGAGGATCTCCCGCGTTCGGTCGATGCTCTCATTGATTCCAGACGTGGTGCCGGTGAACCTTAGAATGTCAGATTCAAATTGCATGGCAGCTCAACATCATCAAACTGCGCACACACTTACTTCAGAAACAGCGTTGGGGCTTCAGCCCAGGACCTCCCGCCAGCGCCCCCATTCTGGTTGATGATCCGCATTTGAACATCGTCCATGAACTCCAGCGCCGCCAAGGGAACCGCCGCCCGGATCAGCTTCGCTGCGGCCGCCGTTGCATCTCCCACGGTCGGGAATGTCGCGATACCCACACTGGTCTCTTGCGGTATCACTGCCAGCTTGAGCGTGGCCTCCGTGATGATGCCCAGCGTGCCCTCTGACCCCGTGAACAGCGCATTCAGGTTGTACCCTGCCGAGGACTTGCGCGGACGTCTCTTGGTCTTGATCACGGACCCATCGGGAAGCACGACCGTAAGGTTGACCACCCAGTCCTTCATGGTCCCGTATCGCATGGCGTTGGTCCCACTGCAGTTCGTGGCGATCATGCCCCCCACGTAGGCGGTTGGACTGGGGTCCATGGGCAGGAACAGGCCGGTCGGTTTGAGCTGGTCGTTCAGATCGACCCATCGCACCCCGGCCTGGACCGTGACGTTCATGTCCTGCTCATACATCGCGACCACTTGGTTCATGCGGGACAGGTCGATGCAGATGCCCGAATGCGGGGCGGAGAAATTCCCCTCGACACTCGAACCTGCACCGAACGGGACCATGGGGACTCGGTACTTGGAGCAGACGCGAGCGATCTGGGAGACTTGTTCGGTCGTGGCGGGACTCACGACTGCGACCGGGCGTTCGGTGGTGTTGGAGGTCGACCAATCCGAGTACCCATGATTCTCGATGTCTTCGGCATCCACGCTGACAAATTCCTCTCCTAGAATACTCTTCAGCTCTGTGACAGCCTACAAGTGAGTGCGTTAGAAGCGCCTGATCAGATAAATGCTGGCAGACTGTACCTTCAACATGGTTGGGCGATCGGCGTATCTTCCCCCGGACTGTGTCTTGGCGGCTTCGGCTTCGGTGAGCGCAGCGGTTCTGTCCCACGCTTTGGAGGCCAGCAGAGTAACCACAGCAGTAGCTACCGCGGTCCCCACGAGGGAAAGGGTTCCCGATCGCTCAGAGGCGCGTTGCTGTGAGGTCGATGAGCTGGATCGGGAGAAGAATGGCTTTTGCGACCGTGGGAAAGTGGGTGGCCTTGGCCAGCGCGGCCGAAGGCTACGTAGCTGCCACGCCTTCATCGTGATTGCTGAATCCTGAATGATCTTCTAGTGGATGCGTTAGTTGCGACAGAGTCAGGATAATCAATCAATAGCATTGCCCTCACCAAGGGTGTGTTGAGAGAATCTTTGCGTGTTTGTCGCGTCGTCGGTACGCGGTCCGGGGTAGGTCGGTTTCGCGCTCGGCCTTCAATGTCAACAATGTCGACAATGCCAACAATACTACGGAGTATTCTTGGCTCAATTGCAAAAGGCTGCTAGATCGGTCATCTGCTTCTTGATGCTTGCACCGGAGAGGATGAGAAGAATGGAGAGACGAGAGCTCTTGGAGGTTGAAGTCAAGGTGTAGTGATGGAAAGAGGCGGGGGTGGAGAGAGATTGCGGGGAGAAAAAGAGCGAGCCTGGAGAGGTTCACCGCATTCCTCACGGGGCAGTCTCTCTCTCTCAATCCAATCCAAGCATGTCGATGTTCAACCCTGATATCAAACTTTCTCTTTCCCTGTTCACGCAAACCCCGACAGGAGAGCCACTTGGGTTTTGCACCAATCTGAGAGATCCAGGACTGTGTGTATGAGAAGCCATTCTAAACTGAACCCACAGGGAATCTTTCCAAAGCACTCTGCGCAATATGTTGAGAATAGTGTTCGAAGTATGCTCTTGCAAGATTTCAAGATTCACTGCCAAATACCACAATTTCAATCTCGTGTATTGTATCCTAAGTACTATACATTATTGCCCACCCTCAAATGCCTGTCTAAACACCCTGCGCAGCCCGACCATATCCGTCATCGCACTCGGCATGAGGAACCCTTGATCAGCGTATCTTCTCGCCTCCTCCCCAGAGTCGCAGTAAATTCCAGTAGCCTTCCCCGCAGCCTGTGCGGCTTCATGAATGGTGTGAATAGCTTTCAAAAGTTCCGGATCCATCTCCCCCTGTTCGCGCATAGGGTGACCAATATTGACCCCGAGATCAAAGGGCCCAATGAACAAGACATCGACTCCCGGCACAGCAGCAATAGCCCCCACATTCTCCAACGCAGCTTTGGTCTCGATCTGAACCGCAATGACCAGCGCATCGTTGGCTTGCTGCAGGTATTCGAGGCCAGTCAATTCGCGGACGGGGCCGCCGTGCGGGTGCTGCTCGACGAACTTCTCCACCGCAAGGAGACTTTCAAAGCCTCGATTGCCCTGCGGAGGGAACTTCGAGTACTGCACAATCCTCCTGGCATCTTCGGCTGTTTCTAGCATGGGGACCAAGATTCCGTGGGCGCCCGAGTCGAGGGCGCGTTTGATCGCCCAGGGTCGGCCCTCGACCACGCGCACAATCGGCGACACGCCACATGCGGCGGCGGCGGCCACAGTCTCGTGCATCGTGTCATCGGAGATATTTCCGTGTTCTAGGTCGATGAGGAGCCATTCGAGGTTCGAGGATGACCGGCACATTACTCGGGTGAGGTTGGTGCCGGGGAGCATCTGCCAGCCACCAAGCGAAGGGCGGCCGGCTTTGAGGGATCTCTGCAGGCGATTTGCTGCTTGCATCTTAATCAGGTCGGAGGGTATGAAGGTCGTAAATGCAGCGTCATTTGTGGGTTGTAGGTGATGACGCCGGATGGTTTTATATGGTGCTTCTTCCTCTCATACAGTTTGGGAACGTACACACCATGCACTCGACTGACAGAACCCTCGGGTGCATCGGATAACGCTCCCGAACATTAGCCATCTCAATGACCGATCGGACCCCGGCTTTTCCATAAGAAGTAGTTTTCAGGAGAGCTACTAGGGAGCTCCTCCCGATGCCTGTCGACGTGCATTTGATGAGCACACTTCCTCGGCTTCGTACGGTGTCCAGCCTGGAGTAAACGGAGAATCCATATTTAAAGTCTTTCCACCACTGTTTTGATACCCATCAGTTAACGCTCACGCAGTACTTTATCACTCATCTATCCATACCCTCTTCAGACTCAACCATGCAGACCAACGAATTGCGCGAAGTTGCGCTCGTCTTACGCACCGCCCGTGTTGAGAAAAAGCCCATATCACCACCCACCCAAACATGGCCCTCTCTCGACGCCGACAGCGCATTTGAGGTTCAGCGCATCACCGTCGACGAGGCTGTGAAGCAAGGCGACCGCCTCGTCGGACTCAAGCTGGGCAATATCGCCAAGGTTATGCAGGATGCCTTCGGTCTGGATCAGCCCGACTACGGCTTTCTCCTGGCCAGCACCTTCATCTACGAGGGTACTCCGATCTCTCTCCGAGACTACATCGCCCCCTATGTCGAGCTGGAGCCTGCATTTGTCCTCAAGGCCCCGTTGAAGGGCCCCAACATCACTGTCGCAGATGTGATCAATGCCGTCGACTACGCCCTCCCTGCCATCGAGATCATCGACTCCCGCGTCAAGGACTGGGCGATTGGGCTGCCGGACACGCTGGCAGACAATGGATCGACGGGGGCAATTATCCTGGGAGGCACCCCCCGACGACTGACAGACCTCAATCTGCGGGATACCCGGGGCACTCTGCTCTTCAACGGCCGCGAGATCATGACGGGTAACACGAAGAATATTCTGGGGAATCCGATCTCCGCGGTGGCGTGGTTGGTGAATCGGCTGGCGGCGTATGATGTCGGGCTTGAAGCGGGCCAGGTGATTTTGCCGGGGAGCTGCTTGCAGGCCATGCCTATGAGGGAGACCGGGCGCTGGACGTGCACGTTCGACGGCTGGGGGACAGTCGAGTTTGATATTGTCTAGGCCTATGACTATTCTTGGTTCCTATTTCCCAATGGTAACATATACAAGTAAGAGAAGTCACGCAAACTTCAAAGCTGAGCTGTAGTATGTAACGTACGAACCAGGCTGGAAGTGGAAGTGGAAGGGGTACGCACTGCCCCACAGCTTCCAAATAAGTATCAGTGAATGTTGCCCCACTTTCACGGTTTCCCATTTTTCCATTGTAGGTGAAGTGAATGAAGTTCAGTATGGCTCTATCTGCTCCATAGACTCTGCTTCACCCGGTTTTCTGGGAGGAGAATCGGAAGCGTCTCCCGATCACCGTTAGGGTCACCGTCAGGGCTGGCTCTCATTCAAGTTGCCGGTTTTGGGTTAGGCGGGCCATTTCCCCGCGGGCTCCTCCAAAATATGGCGATAAGTCTATGCTATGCAGGCTAGTAACGACGAGTTGGCTTACAGTAAGCACACAGTTACTAATTTGCGTTTTCTTGAAGGGAGATTCCCAAGGGGCAGAAGAAACGTCCATGACAAGGCGTGATTGATCCCCCTGGTCCTGCATGATGCACCCGCCCCTCTCTGTGACACCCCTCATCACTCCGAATCAACGCTTCATTTACAAAAGCAGAATCGATGAAATAAATCACTGACATTCGAACCATCGCAGTACAACTGAGGATAGGACTACTAGCAGTGATTGACAAAACAGCTAGCTGCCTCGAAAAACACGAAGCTACTCGATGATCTCCTCGATCATCGACTCCAAAAACTGCTTCTGCTCAGTCAAAAAAGACTTCACATCCGCAGCACTGAACGGACGCTGAGCGAGCTCGCGGTCCCTTTCCTGCTTTAGCAGTGCCCGAACCCGTTCTTCAAGTACTTCAAGCCTGTATCGCGTGTACTGAGTATAGAGCTCGGACAGGTTGCTGATGGGCCGCACACCTGTCAGCACGGTCTCATCGCGCACATGCGGCGACTTGGCTCGGAACGAGGTAATCATCGTGATTCGCTCACGTCCGCCAACTTCCTTCAAAGCTTGGTGTTCGATGTATCTTCCTTGCATGACCACGGCCGTTCCCTAAACAGCATTGTCAGCCCAAAGCAGATACGCATCCGAGCTGCAGAAGAGGTAGCTTACCATGGCCGGACCCCGCACCTTCATGATCTCCCCAGATGCAGTCCTGAGTGCAGTTTCTCCACCCGTCATACCCGTGCAGTCAGAGAGCATCGTCACGCAGACAAAGGGGTAGCTGTCACGGTGCCACGCAAAGGCGGGGAGAGCGTCATCGTTAGCAGTGGAAGTAGACGCCACCGTCTGGTTGTTGATGGAGATGTTAATAGCGGCGATCTCGTAGTCCATGGCAGGAACGAGGTCAATCCCAGCCACCTCGGAGATTCGAGACAGAACCTCCGGGGACTTCCAGGCATCGCAGATAAAGGGAGCTCGGCTGTTGATCTCATTAGGACTTGATCACTTTCACCATTAGGAGTCCATCAGTCACTCACGCAGGCCCCATGCCCCGAATAGTGTTCTTCACGAAGTCTGACGTGTACTGACAGTTATCCAGCACCGATTGGCTGAAGATCTCGGCTCTCATCTGTCTGATGGCCTCTTCGGTAAAGAGCTGGAAAGGCGCCGTGACCGCATTGGAAGAGATTCCCTGGCCCTCGAGGCCAATCTCCCTCATCGTGTAGATTTTGCTGGGAGGCTGGTAGTTCAAGTGTGTTTTCGGATCAAAGCTCTGCTTATCAGCTAGCTGGGCTCCATCGATGAGTGACTGTGGTAGCTGGTTGGTGGGCCTGGTGGCTCTTCTGGTCGTAGGCCCAACCACCATAGGCGGCGCCGTTGCGGTCATCACTGCGGTCAAAGACATGCTGAAGTGTAGTGTGTTGGAAGATAGAATGTTTGTTGGTTTAGATGTTAAATTCTTATGAGATCCAAACGATCAAGTACATTCGACGTTTATATAGAGGAGACCGCCTGATTGAACTCTCCTCGTCAACAGGAGCTCATTTCTTAGATGAAGCCAAAGCCGTAGAGTCCGAGGATCGGATGAAGCTCCCGAGAAGCTCTCATCAATCTATACGAATCAGGTGCCCTTTTTCTCACCCCCGATGGTCGTTTCAAGGTAGGCCTTCTCTACCTCCCACTGCGGAGTCTCTCGGAAGCCCTGGTCGGGTTCTGATCGCGAGCTGATCGCGAGAGTCAAAAAGCCATTACGTGAGAGATACCGATGAAGGCCTGTTCGTATAAACAGCAAGGGACGATCATTTGTGTCCGGACACCCGGTACTCTCCTACCCCCCTTCTTCGAGCCCACTTTCGTCTGCACTCGCAAAAGGCGCCACCCCCGGTTTGAGATCAGGGATCAGAGATACTGTTCCAATCAGCATGAACCAAAGTCAGAAGCTCGTATGAATACTGAAATACGATTTGTTCCGGTCAACAACGTCTACTTTGTCTCTTTCTTCCCATCCTGTTGTTCTGTCCTTAAATAGATGCTACCCCACACCTCACAAGACTTTGTACCATCTATACTCTATTGAACCCTTTCAGATTATTTCCTCTCTAGCTTCCTTGTCACTAAGATGACTAAAGACAAGGCCCTTTCTGATGACATCCAGGGCGCCACCCGTGATCCCGGTCCGGATAGCCAGGATGTCATGAAGGCGGAGCTCGTCGATCCAAATCCCCCAAATCAGCTTCAACGCCGCCTCGACAATCGCCAAATTCAGATCATGGCAGTGGGAGGCTCGATCGGAACCGCTTTATTCATCAGTATCGGCGGAGGACTGGCCAAGAGCGGACCGCTCAGCCTACTGCTTGGCTACGGCATTTACTCTGTGATCTTGGCCTGTGCTACCAACGGATTGGCTGAGATGACCACGCTGGCTCCCATCCCCGGTGGGTTCATTCGCATGTCGGGCAAATGGGTGGACGATGCCTTTGGCTTCATGGCCGGATGGAATTTCTTCCTCTACGAGGCGATCTCGATTCCATTCGAAATCACTGCTCTCACTATGTTGTTGAAGTTCTGGACCGATGCGATTCCTACGGCAGCAGTGTGCTGTGCATGTATTGTCGCTTATTCGTGAGTCTCTCGACGTGACTGAGGCTGTTGATCACCATGAAGGCAGTATAGACTAACAATTCCCCTTAGTTTGCTTAGCATCTTCGCCGTCAAAATATATGGGGAAGCCGAATTTTGGGGATCAAGTGGAAAAGCTGTTCTGATCACCCTCCTATTTTTTTTCACCTTTGTCACCATGGTCGGTGGCAACCCTCAGCATGATGCTTATGGGTTTCGTCACTGGAAGGACCCCGGACCCATGGCCGAGTACCTGCACACCGGAGCACTCGGTCGTTTCGAGGGTGTTCTTTCCGCCATCTGGATCGCAAGTTTCACGATTGCTGGTCCAGAGTATGTCAACCTCCTCGCAGCCGAGGCGAAACGCCCGCGAGTGTACATCAAGCACGCTTACAAGGTGGTCTACTGGCGCTTCGTCCTCTTTTACCTGATGGCCGCCTTGTGCGTGGGAATCCTCGTCGCCTATAACGACCCGACACTGGTAGCCATCTTTCTCGACAACACCGACAGCGGCGCTGGTGGATCGTCTCCGTTCATCGTGGCGATGCACAACCTGCAGATTCCGGGCCTGCCACATCTGATCAACGCCCTGTTGTTGACGACGATCTTCTCGGCCGGCAACACGTACATGTACTGCGCAAGTCGCAGTCTGTACGGGCTGGCACTGGATGGGCGGGCGCCCGCCATTTTGACCAAGTGCACCAAGAACGGCGTGCCATTGTACTGCGTGCTGGTCGTCATCTGTTTCCCCCTGCTGTCTCTCCTTCAACTGGGCGATGGATCCGCGCAAGCCCTAACCTGGCTAACCAACCTGATTACAGCGGGAGGCATCATCAACTACATTGTCATCTGCGTGACATATCTTTGCTTCTACCGTGCCTGCAAGGCTCAAGGGGTGGACCGGAGGACCTTCCCTTATTTTGGCCGCTTCCAACCCTACACCGCTTGGGTCGGGCTCGTCGGGGAGTGCCTGATCGTGGTTTTCTACGGCTACGCCAGTTTCACTCCCTGGAACGTGTCGGACTTCTTCACTCATTACACCATGGTCATTGTGGCTGTCATGCTGTATCTCTGCTGGAAGCTTGTCAAACGCACCCGTGTGGTCGATCCCAGGGAGGTCGATCTGGTCTGGGAGATCCCTCTCGTTGATGCGTACGAGGCGAGCCTGACGTCGCCTCCAGTCGGGTTCTTCACACAATTACTGCAACTGGTTGGCTGGACGAAAGGACAGATTGAGGGTGAGGTCGACAGTCAGATATGAGTGGGGTTTTGAGCTCTCGGCAACTGTAGAGGCACTGCATTCACCGATGAGTGATATGCTTCGATCCACTGAGACAGCTGAAATGAGATACTCAGGACCCATGAATCAATTAAACAGCCTTTCACTAATTTAATGCATGGTGGTGCAGGAGTACAGTGTGAGGTGGCCTCGGATGAGTCTCCCGAGAGGAGCGACAAGGAAGAGCCAGTAGCAGTGCCCCGGACCCCAGCAACACTATTAGAATCGGTCGACTTTCGTACCGTATCTATCTGTCAATCTCGTTCTCGGTGAGAGATACCACGCACTAACTGACTTTGGAATCTTGGACGACCGAAAATGCGGGGTAACGAAGTGGAGCTCGCATGTAACTTCTTATCGCTTCCGATTGACGACTGCTCTTTTCCACCTCGGCTTGCAGGAATCGAGCGCAACAATTCAACGTGCCCCTTCACTCTTCCCATCTCTAATACCTCGAGACCTTTGTAGGATCGAGAATATGCAGGCCCCAGCCCGTAAAGCCCGAAGAACTGCAAACGCGTCAGTATATTCCCCAAACCGTCGATCATGCTCTGATTTCCCGGCTAGATGCGTCGCATGTCGTCAGAGCAAGATAAAATGCTCTGGTGAAGAGCCCTGCATCAATTGCCAGCGACGCTCGGTGCGATGCGAGTTCGCCGAGGGCGTCAACCGGGTCGTGGTCTCGGAGAGGTTCGTCGATTGTGGCCATAGGTCGTTCGTGCTGCCAGATGGTAACAGAAGCCATGCACCAGATATCTGCGACGCTTGGAGGCGCAGGTTCGGAGCCAACAAGCACTAGCCACCATGGAGAATCCGATCATGTCTCCTTCGAACACACCTCCCGTGGCTGGAGACAGCTGTCCGACTGAAGCTGCAATGTCAACCTCCCGTTCCGCACCACTCCGAGAAACGTCTCCTGCGAGCCAAGAGCGGAGCATCTGGACAAGTCCCTTCGCTCTCCCTTCGACAACCATCAAGAACACAAAGGATAACAAGCGAACTTGGAGTACGTTTCTATCTGCATGTCCCAGGGTTCCGCTTGACCATGATACTAGTCTGGCTGGCACCGTCGTCCATGTGGTCATTCACCACCCGCCTCACCATCCTCATGACCGAGAAGCTGCATCGTCGATATCCCCACAACGCCCCGACCTTGCGCGCCAAAGAAATCTATCCCCTTCGCTGGGACGTCTGTCCAGCCAGCAGACCTCCGGACATAGCCGGCCTGCCGTCTCTCGATTACTCGCTGTACCTATTCAACACGGTCAAGTTCCATCTGGGGCAGTTGCGGTTCTTCAACGAAGAGCAATTCGTCGAGCGTCTGCGGGAATTCTACCACGGTAACCCCGCCGCGATAGCCATGGAATACCGTCTTTGGCTCATTCAGCTCCTCTTGGTCTTATCCTTCGGAACGGCTCTGCTGTGTCGGGCGAAGAGCCCGGATCAGCCCCCGGGTTCACGGTTCTTCGCCCGTGCCATGTCTTTGATGCCTGACCATGCGTCCCTGTGGAAGGATAGCTTGTTGGCGATAGAGGTACTGGCCCTGGCTAGTCTGTACCTGTATTCGATTGACCAAAGGGAATCCGCACATATCTACGTAAGTGTACCACTGGGCGCAGAGAACCTTTTGATGCACAGGGCCGGGTTTTGTACTGAATAAGTCGAATGCTACAGCTCGGGCAAGCGATCCGAGTCGCACAATACGAGGGCCTCCACACTCAGCTCTCCGAGGAGCAGCTGGGGTCTGAGACTGTGGCCCGATGCCGTCGTCTCTGGTGGACGCTGTACATCATGGATCGACACTTCTCCTACTCGGTCGGACTGCCGATGACCACCCAGGATCGTGACATTAGCACGCCGATCGATCCTCCCGAGCACTGCTCCCAGCAGGACCTTGCTCTGAGTCTCCATGCGAAACTATCACGACTGCTGTCATATATCCTGAGCAGTGAGTTGGTTCCTTCCCTGCCACCCAATGAACGGTGCCCTAACTGGGCGTGAAGCGGTATACAATGCGGAAAGAACACAGTTGCACGTCTTTCTGGACACGACGAAATCGATCCTCCAGACGCTGGCAGGATACGCGCACGAAATGGAGGAGATCATCCAGATCCGACTGCGCAATTCCCTGGACACGATGCCCCGAGGCACGCAGCACATTACCCTACTCTATCACCAGGTTCGCCAGTCCCATCTCCCCCAACAGCAGACCGCAACCCGCCCCTTGAAACACACTCCACTCACCTAAATCACCAACCAGTGCGTAATCGTAGCCACGCGGCCCCTCCTCCTCTCCGCCCTGATCGACCGCCTCGAAACCCTGACCCACGACGGCCTCGACACCAACGACTTCCTAACCCTCACGAAGCCCCTCCTGTGCATCGGGATCAAATCCGCCGTCAAAACCATCCAGATCCTTTCAGGCACCGACAGTCTTCTCGGTAGGTTATGTATTGTTTCCTTCCTTTCTTCCAGGAAGAAAGTCACGACCTAACTAGATAACCTCACAAATTCTAGAGGTATTCCTCCTCTACGACCTCGAATTCACCTACGACGCCGCCATCCACCTCGCCCTGACCCGAACCCTCTTCCCGGAACTCCTCACCACTCCCACCACACAAGATGGTCCCAGTCCCAGCCCCAGTCCCAGCCAGCAAGCCCACTCCATCCTCGACGCGATGATCTACCACGGAAACCGCATCGCTCACGCCCGGAAGGAAGGGCTGGTGCACCTCGAGCGGCTGCTGGAGGAGGTGGCCGTGTCGGTGTCGGTGTCGGTGTCGGGCTCGGGTCGTCGCCCCGGCCGCCCGTCCTCGTGGCAGACGCATACACCGGAGAGTCTGCAGGTCCCGGCGGGAATGATGCAAGGGGGTGGTGGTCACTCCACTGCCGCCGCCGCGGGTGGGCTGGTGGGGTACGGCGACGGGGTGGCCGGAGAAGAGGAGCTGGGTGGACCGTCGTACACGGCGATGGAGGATCCACAGCTGGCGAACGTGGAGTTTCTGGAGCAGATTGGGATCTCGTCCGCGGAGTTCTTGTCCATCGTGGCGCAGATAGGGCCGTTGAAGGGGGTGGACGGGGTGGAGGGTGGGTGAGGGGGGGAGTGAGGGGCTGTTCCTGTTCCTGAGATAGGCATGTGTGAAGGGTCTTAGGAGCGATCGGGAGACTAAGCTACGCAGTGCTATCCACATATCGGGTGTTATTGATCGGACCATGTACCACAGAAGCACAAGGCCCGGAAGTAGAGAACCTGGAGTCTTTATATGCCTGCCTGTGAAAACTTCCTCTGGAGGCTAAGTTCCCTAACTATTACAGTAGAGCTCTAGAGCTGCATCCAGCCAGATTCCTTCAGCAGAAACCAAACAGCCCGCTCCGGCATTTCCTCCCCCCTTGATCCCCTTGCGCGCAGTTCTCAAAAAGACTACAAGACCTGGACGACATCGTCGGAATGCCCGGCCGTCGCAATCAGCGGCGGCGGGCGCTCGATCTTCTGCCGGAAGATGTATCGCTTGATGAACCACGGCAGCCACACCGTCAACTCGTAGTTGATGAATCTCTTCGTCGGGACGGAGAAGACCTCTGGACGGATGTATCAGCAATTGTTACCTTGTAAGTGGATGGGAATGACCGCGCGGACTTACGATCGATTTCCTCCAAGGTGAGCTGCTTGGTCTCCCGCACGAAGCAGAAGATCATGAACCAGGCGATCAAGTTCAGGCCCGCGTAGAATCCGACTAGATAAAGGCGATAAAACTCAGATACATATGGTCTCGCGTCGAAAACGAGTCATTTTTTCACTTACAGGCACCAGTCGGGGTCATGACGGTCTTCATCCGAGGGAAGGTCAAACTAAGGATACCAGCTGCGTGGCTGTTAGCTGCATGGGCCCCTTGGTCTTGGCCAGTGAAGAATAAAAGGACTTACCGAAGGTATTGTTGATGCATACAGCCCAGGCCATCCCTTGCTCACGCTGGATGGTCGGGAACACCTCGGCCGAGTACTGGAACGCCACCGGCCCTTCCCCTAGGGAGTAGCAGATGGTGAAGAGGTAGACGAACCTTCGCTGTGGTCAGTTAAAATCAATGCTGCTGGGATGGTTCTGGGGACGTACAGAGCGACGGGGCCAATCTGCGCACCCTTGCTACCGTTGTCCTTCAATAGGGAGAGACCGGCCGCCAGGAGGAAGATGCACATGAGGGGGAATGTCTGGATGGGCGTTAGTCGGGCGTCTTTCATCATCACTCAGACTCTAGGGTAAAAGAAAAAGCAAGGCCCAACTCACAATCAAGGTCAGAGTTCGGCGTCCTTTGGTATCGATCAGGAACACGGTCGGGATGGTGAAGACGACCTGGATCGCGCCGTAGCCCAGCGAGGCGTACAACGCCTGGGTCGCGCTATATCCGGCGTTCTCGAAGATGGTCGAGCTGTAGAACGAGATGACTACAGAGCGTCAGAGACAAGTCTACCCGGGAGCGAGCATGACTCGGCCAAACTTACTGTTGATGCCGCACATCTGCTGGGCGATCATGACGGTCGAGGCGCCGTAGTTGGCACGGCGGATGCGAGGCACGGCAAAGCAATCCCACAGCCGAGCAAAATAGCCCGCGCCCCGCGCTTCCCGGAGTTCCTCCTCGTAGATCACATACGAGTAGTAGTAGTCTCGGGCGGCGATGATGGGGTGGGCGCGCAGACGCAGCATTGACTTGAATCCTTGGGCGTACCGGCCGTGCTTCATCAGCCAGCGAGGGGATTCCGGGCAGAAGAAGATCCCCAGCCCCAGGATGAAGGATGGAATGAAGGCGGATCCGAGCTGCAGGCGCCAGGCGATGCGGCCGGTGTCTTTGACGATCACGTTGGCGGCGAAGCCCAAGAAGATACCTTGATCAACGAAGTCAGCAGGGTAAATCGGTGGGATCTCGATCCGATGGTAAGGGGGGGGTAGCGCACCTGCGACGACCCACAACTGCCAGAACATGACCAGAGCACCTCGAATGCGCGCAGGCGCCATCTCCGCCGAGTAGATCGGTACCGTGGCGTTCTTGGCCCCAATCCCGATGCCCATCACGAACCGAGCAGCGAACAATCCTTGCCACGACTTGGCGAATGCAGATCCAATGGGAGTGGCGGTCAGACAGCACGCAGTGACAAAGATCTCGCCTCTTCGGCCCAGGTAGTGGTTGAGCGGATCGACAATGAAGGCGCCACTGCATAGATCACCAATCAGTCCTGCGATGAAGCCCAAAAGAAAGAATACCATCGGGGAGTCTCGACACTCACATCATCCCGGCCGTCAAAAAAATGATGGCGTTGACCAGTCCCACAATCCACTCATCTTTACCGTCCCCCGCGATGCCAAACTCCTGGGGGAAAGAGAGGTTCGCTCCGTTGGACCCGGTCTGATCCCAACCTTGCGTTGCGGCGCCAATCGCACACAGGGCAATTGAGTACCAGAGCATGAACGGGCCATGCCACTTGTGATCCCTCTCGTAGATGAGCGCAGCACGGTCCTGGTCGTTGAGTTCAGGAATCGACTCGAATCGCTGAGGGTCCCGCGCGACCAGGGCAGCACGAGCGATGAGATCGGCGTGCTCGGACATTTCGTGAGAGTCGGCGAATGCGCGAGCGTCGAGAACCACCTGCTCTGGAGATTTGCGCTTCAAGCGAGAAACAGTCAGGGTCCCGAATTCGCAAGGAGTTCAACCTGTGCGATGCTCACCGTCAGAGGGTTCTCGATCAGATTGAGGGCTGGTCCGCGAGCCGCATGAGGCAGCTCGGGCTTGGTGATCGGGGCGACATTCTCATTGTGAGAGATCACGTCCGCAGACGTCTTCTCGTTCATGGTGGATGGATCAGTCTGAGGCGGATGGGAGGGAGGTTGGTCTGGGAAAGATGTCTCCTGACGAAAGCCTCATGGGGATTTAAAGAAACCAAAGGGGGTAAAAGGAAAAAAGAAAAAAAGTGGCTCATTCACCGCATATAGGCCAATACATTCACTCTACTCCGTACCTCCCCGTGGGGTAATTACAGTACTGTACAAAGGGCATGGGGACACGGACTCGTAGCATTGTCAGCACTAGCAACAAGACCGATCATACGAGCGTATGCCCATCTGACAACCAGTTAGGGCTTGGCTGGCTGCAGGATTGGGCGGCTGGTGGCTTTTGCCGCAACCCCACTTCCGGCGCTCAAAGCGCCTGGGCTCTTAGCCTCTTGCTGCTCTACACAACACACAGACCGGATACTCCAGAAATCGGACATACCCCGGATCCCCAGATCGCTGGTGGTCGCTGGAACGTGGTCGGCCACGATAGTACCACAAAGCCTCCCAAATTCCCAGGGTAGAACCACCGAGCCTGATTGGCGGATCAAAAGACAAGGTTTCTGACTCTCTGTTAACAAAGCCGGAGATGGACAGCGTAATCCCACCTCAATAGACAAACGGTGACCCCCCAAGTACCAAGACTAGACCTACAATCAGGTGCAATGATGTATGTGGCTGTCATGAGAAAGGCTGTCCTGACCATTTCCCTCCTTTAGCCTCAATAAGCCGATAGGTCTTCACTGGAGGATTGTGCCGTGCCCGGGAAGCTTTTCTTGCTCGCTGTGACTCTGGCCCTCCGTCCCTCCGGTCTGGCGGCGGTTTTCGCCGTTTCGGTCTTGCCGTGACCCCACTGACTAATAATTGGAAGGTGACATGTATCAGTTACATCCGGGGTCACAACTCGAATCCTGGGGGGATTTTCGGCAGCGAATCATAGCCTGGATCGTTTACTAGTCTCTTGACTTTTGCTGCCTTTCGCTGCGCTTTGCCGGGTTGCTTATCCTGGTTATTGCCTCAATCCGGGATCGGATGAGCACCAATCCCGGTCTACGATGGCAAACATGATGGCTGACTGACGGCCTGGATTTCAATCGTGCCCGAATCGCTCCCCGAGACTTCTCGCCGCTCAGGTCACAGGTGCAGTAGACTATAACTTGACCATCGGAGCGTCCGAGTTGTCGCCAGTCCGCATGGTGCGGTGGTGAGAGTAATGGTCACATGACCGTAGAATATGCCCCCACGCTTTTCTCGGTGTCTTGGTGTCTTGGTGTACGATTCTTTAGTCCTAACCTTGCTTGGAGTAGAAGTTCAAGACCTCAGGATTCTCCTGACTTCCATCCAATTCTCTTCCCCTCGTACGAACAGCAAAACTGGGAAGGTTTCAGACGGACTGGGGTCTGGCAGCAAACGCGGGGTGAGAGGGCCATTCGACGCCGATCTTAGCTTCTCAAGGAGCAGCGTCAGCACATGGGCGCCGGTCCAGTGACCGACTAACCAACTCAATTTTCCACTAACTTTCTAGCCCGCTTGGGAGGCGAAGGTGTGGCGGTGGACGAAAAGCTGGGCTGCGAGCCTTAATTTGACGGACTCGCCGGGTGAGAAGCCCGCATTCTGGCCCAAGTCGCGGTCGGGTGAGGAGACGGGATGGGAAGAAGGGCACTCCAGCATGCATGGAGACAAGACAAAAGGAGCACTATTTGACTAGCAGACCTGAATTGGGTCATATTGACAGAAATTTAGACAGTAACCACGCTTGGCCGGATGGTGTAGTTGGTTATCACGTATCGTTAACACCGATAAGGTCCTGGGATCGAGCCCCAGTCTGGTCAATCCTTTTTGCTTCCGTTTTTATCATTTCACTGCGTCCATCGTCCTTCGTCCAGCATCTAGGACATAGAACTACTATAACACGGCCGTCCAAACAAGCAAATTCTTATTCAGTCTGTGATTGCCTTTTTTCCTGCCGTTAATTCTCATGGTAGTCAGGAGTCCCGTGTCAGGAGTCCCGTCATGTGCCTAGAAAAAAAAGCGCCGGATGGTCTGGTCCTACTTTACCCGCTTATATATCTGCACAGCAGCCGGGTAGGAGATGGCACGTCGATTCCACCCCCGCCCCATCAACTCACTTCAAAAACGCCCAAAGATTATTCAAGGATTCTGCAAAAGTAGGATGTGCAAAGATACCATCCTGCAATTTCTCATACGACAAATTCCCCGCCATGGCCATTTGCACGACACTCATCAGCTCCCCACCCTCGACGCCCAAGCATGAGA